TTTTAATAATTTACTGTATATTTAAAATATTAAAAAAATCATTTTTTACAAATTGAATCCAATAACATTAATTTAATTATAATGATGATAATGGGTAATTTGTCAATTTTATTTCCAATAATAAAGAAAATTATTATTTTCTGAATACTTTTCCATAAGAAATTGCTGGAATTTGGGTTAATTAATGAATAGTATTTATTTAAATCAAAACAAACAAAATAAATCCAATAAACTTTGCATTAAATAAGGTCCGAAAAGGTAAGATATATACAAATATTTATTTTATTCCAAAAATAGAGGAACTGGTTTTTTAAGAGCATCTTCAATAAATTTTTATTTTTTTTTTCAAAATGAGAATCAAAATTCAAAATTTCTTCAAAATAGGGAATCAAAATTCAAAATTTTCAAAAAAATTTCATTTTAGAGATTTTATATAATTTTTTTTGTTTTATTAAACTGGATATCCAACCCGCTATGCGAGTCGACTAATTCCAGGGCAACCGCCTGCTTTGCAAATAGCCCGGAGTCACCGTATTTAACCCTCCATGGCCACAAGGGGATTTTAATTCCTTATTGGATTTGAACCTGAAACCTTCTGATATTTTTGATATTTGGAGCCAAGCTCAAACCAATCAGACACCACCCTTTGAAGATTTCATATAATTTAAATTACTAAAATATTTAAACAAATGTAATAAAATATTCCATCTCTCCTAAATATTTAATTTCAATGACCGTTATTGATGAGAATAAATAAAAAATCATTTCTTAAGCAGCCAGTTTTAAAGAATTTTCCATATTTACAGAATTTTACCATCTCAGTCCTGCTTTTTCAATTTCAAGTAAAATTTTGAAAAGTTTGTTGGAGCAAAAATCAATCCAAAATCTTTGAATATCCCGTGCCAATTTTTTTAACAAGATTATTTTAAATGATTCATGTATAAAACAACGAAGGATAACGACACTGATATTTAAAACTTAAAGATTGTAAAAATTTATTTATATTATAGAAAAAAAATGACATTTAATAGAACTACAATTAAATTTTTTTTATTTAAATTTGGTAATTTTATAATGGTTAAGGGATTGATTTTTGTAATATATTTAAGATAAATAAATAAAAAATTAACAAATACTAATTAATAAATAAAAAAAGATTTATTTTTGAAATCAAAGGTGTCCACCACATGCATACATTCAATCCAAGACCTGACCGTTGCTGCCTTCCTGCTCAAAAGACCTAAAAAAAGTCATATGTTTATATCTAAAATCCAACGGAAATATTTTACTAGCCGTTGATTTCAAAATATAATTACCCCCTCTTTCAGACACACTTCCCCCATTCTTGTCTCTCTCTCTCTCCCTTTCATCTGTTCTTCATCTTCTTCCCCCACTAAATGCACCCAAAAGTGTAGATTTTTTCAATTAAATGCTCTTAATCTACATCCTAGGGTTCTTTGGTTTGTGGGTTTCTTGACATTCAAGATCTTTTGATTTGGGTTTCGATTAATTTCTTCAGATTTTTATTCGTTTAATCAATCAATGGAGATTTCAGTTGATAACAACAAACCCACAAATCTGCAAGGTAAATCCATGACACAGATCAAGATTTTCTTGAAAACCCTAAACTTGAATCTTGTTTTATGAATCGGGTTCTTGTCTTGTGTTGGTTTTGATTTGTATTTGTGTTTGTATTTGTATTTGCAATGTTAAAAGCATAAACTCAAAAGATTGATTAAAGTTAGATCAGGGTTTTTGAATTTGAAAACCCTAAATTCAAATCTAGGGATGATTTGGGTTTGTGAATTTGGAGGTTCTTTTTCTATTTTGATGTGTTTTTTATTTGTCAAGTCAAAACACAGATAGACAAGGTCAACCTCACACAAAGTTAGATCTAAGAGTTTCTTGCAGCTTACAAGTTTGAATTTGAAAACCCTAAATCTTACAAATTGTTTTAATTTTATTTTGACTTTTGTGTTTGGATTTGTGAAGTAAAAGGAGGAGAGAAGATGGCCACTAGAAAGTTTGGTGTTGAGATTAGCCATAACAGAAGAGCTTTGGGTACAATTAATCAGAGAGGTGGAGCTCAAAAATGCCCCTGTGTTGTCAACAAGAGAGCTTTACCACAGTATGTATTCATTCTTTTTTTCCCTTAAAAGTTCTTATATCACTCATAATTCTCATCATATAGATACATTTTAGCTGATCTGTTAACTATTATTTGGTGTTTAGTGCAAATGGAAACAATGAGAACATTGGGGTGAATCAACTTCATAGGCCAATCACAAGGTTAAGATCTTACTTTGAAACCTGAATCAAATCTGGGTGTCCGAATTTTGGTTATTTCACTCAAAGTACTAACTTGATTTGTTTCTAATAAAGGAAACTTGCTGCTCAAATTGCCAACAAGAAACAGTGTTTCCCTGAGGTAGTACTACCATCATCTCTTTCACTGCATACCCATGAAGAATTTTCTTTAAATATGCTGGATCTTTTATTGATGAATGAAACCCATTGAATTCAGGATGTTTTGAAGCCAAAACAATCAACTGAGAGTTTTAAAGTATGGGAAGATGTGGAAGATGAACCTGTGCCCATGTCCTTAGAAACAACAGAACCTCAAAAGGATCTTATGGTATCCATCCATCTTTCTTTGTCTTTTTTATCCATCATTCCCAATTCTTTTTAGATTATAATTTGAATTTTATTAATTTTGTATCAGGAGGTTGAAATGGAGGATATATTTGTAGAACCGGTGGTTGATATCGACATTTCCGACACCAAAAATCACCTTGCTGTTGTTGAATATGTTGAAGATCTCTATGCTCATTATAGAAAGATGGAGGTAAGTAGCCATTTTGGTGTTGAAAATGGATACCCACATGGAAAACCCACTAATTTGATGTTTGTTTATATGCTAATTCGGTTTTGGGTTTCTCGAATGACAGAGTTATGGCATGGTTTCACCAAACTATATGTTAACACAACAATCTGACATAAATGAAAGGATGAGAGCTATACTAATTGACTGGCTCATTGAGGTAACTTTTGGCTATGTCAAGTTTCAAGTTTTGTAATTCCGATCATACCCTTAAGCATTTTGTTTTATATTTCAATAATTACTAACAAAATATGATCAATCTCAATTCAGGTCCACCACAAGTTTGACCTTCAACATGAGACACTGTTCTTGACAGTAAACCTCATAGACAGGTTCTTGGCCAAGCAAAGTATGGCTAGAAAGAAGCTGCAACTGGTTGGTTTGGTTGCCATGCTTTTGGCTTGTAAATATGAGGAAGTTTCCGTGCCAGTTGTCGATGATTTGATCTTCATCTCCGACAAAGCGTACTCAAGAACCGAAATTCTTGAAATGGTACTAAAGTTTACAAGATTTTTCCTTTATTTTCATCTTGGTTTGTTTGCATATCTTGGGTGTGAGATTCTTGAAATGGTATCACATGGTCTTGTTTATAAATGGTACTAAAGTTATAAAGATTTTTCCTTTATTTTACTTGATTCTGATATTGTTTATGTGCATCTGGGGTGAAATGGTACTAAAGTTTCAAGATTTTTGCTTGAATTTGATCTTGTTTTATGTGCATCTGGGGGAAATTTCTTGAAAACTGATTTTGATATTTGTTTCATATGGGATATGAGGATGGTACTAAATATACAGTTTTATGTGGCTTTTTCAGGAAAAATTGATGTTGAACACATTAGAGTTCAATATGTCAGTTCCAACCCCATATGTGTTCTTGAAAAGATTTCTCAAGGCAGCTCAATCTGAGTCAAAACTCGAGCAAATGTCGTTTTTCTTGATGGAGCTTTGCCTGGTGGAATACGAGATGATCAAATTCGCACCATCGTTCTTGGCTGCAGCTTCGGTCTACACTGCTCAGTGCAGTCTTTATGGGCTGAAGCAATGGTCCAAGACTTGTGAATGGCATACAAACTACTCTGAAAATCAACTTCTGTAAGCCATAAATCTTTCATGCCTTATTTTTGCTCTAAATTCCTAAATTTCCGAATTAATGCAAACCCGTAAACAAGTTTACAGTTTCAGGCAGGCCCATAACTTTTTTTCCGAAAATTGTTCAAAAGCCATAAATCTTTCTTTCCTTGCTAAATTTCCGAATTAACGCAAACCCGTAAACAAAGTTAACGATTTCGGGGAGACTCGTATAAAATTTTCGAAGTTTGTTGACTTTTTGTTGATCTTTTCTTAAAGGGAATGCTCAAAGATGATTGTGGGATACCACCAAAAGGCAGCAACAGGGAGATTAACTGGGGTTTACAGGAAGTACAACACTTCAAAGTTTGGCCATGCAGCAAAGTGTGAGCCAGCAAAGTTTATTGTTGAAGAAGAGAGCTGCTGCTAATACTAACATAATGCAACTTATGAAACTTTGGGGGTTGGCTTTAACAACTGAGTTATTCTGTAGGGGGTGGCTTTAGAGATTTAATAATTTTAGCAACTTTCCCTTGTTGCCCTTGGTTTTTGGGGGTGGGGGGGGGGGGGTTGGGTTAGTTTCCAATGGTGGTTCAAAATGTGTGAACAACCAAAATAGCTAATTGTTCATGTTGAACATATTCTACCAATTGATCTTATGATTTGTTTTCCATTTTACAATAATCATAACAAACTTTTACTCATATTTGGTTCTTGAGTCGTTTCTTGGCATGAATTTACATGCAGATTGAAAAACGTGATAGTTTTAATTTGTGGGTCGTGCTTAATAGTGAAATGAATCAATATGTTGACGATCACGTCATCAGTGAGTTCAATAAATCTCGAGTTTGATGGGTTTTTTTACGCGATTCTAACAAAATATTTCTTGATAACTACTTATTCTATTTGAGTACGTTATTGGGTCTGAACAATCTCATCGTTTATTTCAAGTAACGTGTTGTATCTTTTTTTATTTTGGGCAATATTAACGAACGTAGGTTGAAAATGACCTAGAATCCAAAGAGTTGCTTAATAGTTGAAATAATTTTTTATAATACTGGCATATATCAGATAAAACTTTATGATTTATCAAATAAGACTTTATCAAAAAATAAAATAGTTAGTTGGACAAACATAATCTAAACTACCAAGGTTAAAGGGGTAGGTTTTAAATCTTCAAAAGGGAAAAAGTGTGATTTTTAATAGTTGAGGGAGATGTAGCTAATATCACATAGTTTGGGGGTTAAAATGTAATTTAGTTTTCTTCTTCTCCAATTAATTTTTATTGCTATTTTATTATACAAGAAAACGCACAGATACGTTTCGTGAATTACTGCGCACGCACAGAGATACTTCCTTCTCCTCAAGCTCTCAAAGCATTCGATTTCTGGTTTTCAAAGCAATCAGCAGCTCTTGCAGCTTGATTCTTGGGTCTTTTTCATTCAATAGACTGCAAAACCTCCATAATTAGGGGGAGAATAGGATGGGAGGCGGAGGCGAGGGTAGTGATGGTGTTGTCATCGATGGAATTGAAGTGAAGAAGGCTGACGGTGGTGACGCTGTTACTGTTAACATACGATGTTCTAGCGGCACGAAGTTCTCCGTTCAGGTGAGCCTCGAGTCGTCTGTTGAATCATTCAAGTCTGTGCTTGCACAGAACTGTGATATCCCTGCGGAACAGCAGCGTTTGATTTATAAAGGCCGCATTCTTAAAGACGATCAGACTCTTAAGAGCTACGGTATTCTACTTCCATCAAGTCCTAATTGGTTATTTGCTTTATATGTAAACTCATTATGTTGGAAATGGTAGGTTTAATTATGAGTGCTAAGTGGTTATTTGTTAATGTTTTTTGTGATTATAGTTGTTTTGAAAATTTTAGGAAGAAAAATGTATTGGAAGAGGACACTTTCTTAACGATTTGCCTTTAGATGTCACATAGTTTACTTCTCAGTTCTCGACCTCTACATTGGCGACCCTCCCTTCATTTTGTAGATAGTGTTAACTATCATCAAACATATAGCATATCCCCGAAAGGAGTTTGTGGATTCAAAAGAAGATCATTAATTTTTGTGATGACTAATGTAAGCAAATAGGTGAATTGTAACTTCCCAACTTTTACGAAATGGGAAATTTTCAATATCCTCTGGACATTCCAAAATGGAAAATATTTCAATGTTCGTGGGACAGAGGAGAATATTTATGATCTCATTTGACGAGAAGAACCACAAAAACGACTTGTGGGATAGAAACAAAAGCGAAGAATTACTCGTGGTTTCTAGGAGCAAACTTAATTCATGGTTAACGGTTTCAACAATGTTGGTCTAAACCCTTAGACTTGTCTGTATAGTTTATCCTCAAATCCAACTTGTACTTGAAAATGGATCTTCCTAGGTCTGGGGCATTTTGTTTCGACTCTGCGATAGGGAGGTGTACATTATGTACATCCTTTACAAGATTTGATGGAGTGGAATTGGCCTTTTCCTTTAAATAAAACCAGGCTTCAGAAATAAAATGGTGGTGTTATATTAGCAACAAAATCCATTTTAATTTTTCTTTTTGTAGGTCTTAGAACCAAATAATGCTATTTAGTATTATTTGTAACATTTTGTGAACATGGAAAGTATTTTGATTTTGCTAATGTAATCAATATTAACAATGTTGAAATATTTAATTTGGTAAAACTTATTAAATAAGGATGTTTCTGGTTAAATTTCAAAGGTTTGGATGGACTACATGGGTTAAAGTTCGTAGGAAAATGGAAGAGCTTTTTTATGCTTAATCAATTGACGGGGTAGTGGGGTATAACTAAGATACTGCAGCTAGAGAGAGCTTCACATGGGAAGAAGTGTTGCCTTTACTTGATGCCAAATCCTTGTATAGGGCACTTCGGGGATGTGGTCCAATGCACACCCCGTGCAGCCGTAAACCATATCCTTGGATTATTGACCAGGGTTACAGAAATCATGATAAGTAATGGGCAATTTTGGTCTTCTTTACAAAAAAGGAAATTGAAGTTCACTATTTGCTAGAAACAAAAGCTAACATAAAAAACAAAGATGTGTTTTATGACTATGAAGAGAAAAAGCTAGACAATTCAAGTTATTTTTCTGATAGTTTGGACTAGCATAGACGTACTAAGTAAAAGCAAAATCATGATAATACTTGTTTAAGTATATATTTCTCTCACATATTTCATGTATCAATCACGATATAACTTCCTTTTTTTCTTGGTTTGGTTTTAGATTTGTGTACACACATACACATATATAGAAACATAGTAATTGTCGTACTTCCATATTGGGTTATAAACCTCCTGACCAGTATCTATTCACTTTTCGTTCCATGCAACAAGTTCTACAGATTTCATGACCAAAGCGGTCGTCCGTGGGAATCGGCCGGGAACCCCAATCCCCATCCCCGTCCCCCATTCCGATCTTCGTCCTCGTCTCCATCGGGGAATATGATCACATCCCCATTATTGGGGAACGGGGATCCCCAATGGGGAATTGGGGATCTTTCCCCCGTTAATATAAGTTATTTTAAATCAAATGTGCTAAACACCACATTCGTTCAATAATGATCTATGTTCAAGTCTCGCATATTTTTAGAATCTTCTTTTATAGAGTATCGAATATTCATATGTGAACAAAAACACAACATTATACGTAATTGTTTGATCAAATGCTTTCGGCTTTCAACGATTTTTATCCAAAAGAAAGTAAGACACCTCGGAAAAAATGTATATAAGAAGAAATGTCAAAATACTATTTCTAAATCTAAAAGATATTAAATCTAATTTTTTTTATAAATAATCTATTTAATAATAACTATATTTAAAATTCGGGGACGTAGAGCGGGACCACGTTACCGATCCCCGTCCCCATCCCCGGTTTTTAACTTTCGGGGATCCCCGTCCCCATCCCCGATCCCCGGTTTTGCAGGAATCCTCATCCCCGTTGGGGCGGGTACACCGGTTTCCCCAATGGGCAGTCCTCATTCCCATGCCTCATGTCACTTCAAATTTCAAACACAGATACAGTGTTTACTATCTTTCTAATTATAAGACCTTAAAGCATTTAATTCCCACTCTATGGGCATTAAAATATAAGGGCAGCTTACAGTGACTGCCATAAATGAAGCACTCAAGTTTACCTCTTCCTGGTTAGTGGTTACCTTATAGCTAAATTATTAATTCAATCATCACATATTAATGCCTTATTGAAATAGCTTAGGTCATGAATATTCATGCAAAGTGTAATATGAAGTTACCTGTTGGGGTGAACCATAGGCATATGTGGCTAGGTACAGATGAAAGTTGCAAGGTCTTCATAGGTATATGCCTATGTTAGCCTCACATCTTTCTTTTATGCATAATATCCTTTTTTCCTTGGTGAGCTGTATGCTTAACGGGGTACAAAACCATAAGGAACAAAGAGTAAAAAACTAGAGTTACTACTTACTCAACAAGCACACTACGATAGTGGGTTGGGATTGAAAAGTGACACAGTTTTGTCATGCATTGCTATAAGTTGCTGGGATAATCACTTGAGCATTTTTTCAACTCTTAGTTTCTGATTGTGTGTACATTGGAGATTTGGAGTTTATGTAATTGCATGTTTCAAACTATCATCATATGAGTCTTAAAAGGAGATATCATGGGGCCCTTTTGGCTATGCTAACAACAATTAAGAGATAGCTCGGGACAAAAAATTGTTACAGGAATCCATAAGCTGTTGCATTTTGAGGTTGGTTGATAATTCTCTTGGGAAACCTATGGAATAAGAGGTTTGGATAAACAAAATGTATTTTGGATTCATAACTCCTTGCAATGATATTTCGCCAATAAAATTTGCACCAAAAGAAATCAGGTCCTAGTTCATGACAGTCATGTCTAGTCATAACTCATAATGGCCATGTCATATGTGGTCAATGGGTATTCTGCATTGTCGGTCCTTTTTCATGAATGGCAGCCTAAATCATTCACAAAAATGATGCGCAATATCCAGGTACCCTTTTTCATGTAAACTTATTGATTCCATTTATATGCCTACAAGGTTATCACTCACTCTCTTGTTACATTCATTCCCAGATTCTGAACGCCAACCAACGTCTTTGCTATTAACAATTGCATCTGTGAGAGATTCCTTATTGTCTATTATCTTTTCTGATTCATAGGTTTGGAGGCAGAGCACACTGTTCATTTGGTTCGTGGTTTTGTACCTGCTGCATCAAATAATTCCGCAGGTACAGCGACTACCAGAGCTCCAAATATCACCCCATCTGTTGCAAGGGGAGTTGGTTCAATTGAAGAGGGAATGATGGGTGGAGCTGGTGCTTCATTATTTTCTACACTTGGTTTGAATGGTTTGGGAGGCAATGGTGGGATGTCTGGGGCTGGACTTCCAGAACTTGAACAGATACAGCAACAGTTAACTCAGAACCCCAACATGATGCGAGATATCATGGATCTGCCTCTTGTTCAGAACCTAATGAATAATCCAGATGTTATACGCAACATGATGATGAGTAATCCTCAAATGCGTGATATTATTGATAGGAATCCAGAGCTTGCCCACATGCTCAATGATCCTGCCATTCTCCGTCAGACGATGGAGGCTGCAAGAAATCCTGAACTCATGCGTGAAATGATGCGCAACACAGACAGAGCAATGAGTAATATTGAATCTTCTCCTGAAGGATTTAACATGCTTAGGCGTATGTACGAAAATGTTCAGGAGCCTTTCCTGAATGCAACTACAATGGGTGGGGATACGAGGAATGATTTGAGTTCAAATCCATTTGCAGCTCTCTTGGGTGCCCAAGGGGGGCGTGATCAGTTGAATAGTCCTACGACTGCGGGTGCTGAAACAACTACAGGTTCCCCTGCTCCTAATGCCAATCCTCTTCCCAATCCTTGGGCTGCTGGTGGTAAGCTTCTTTTAATTTTGCTCATTTTCTTTATTAGGATGCTCAGGATTCTGTGCCATTTTCCCTTGCAATGCTAGTCTGATTATTCTCTATGTAGCCTACATGCTTGCGAGGTGGATACTTGTATTATTTGTATCAAGTTTTAAGTGCTTTAGTGACATTAAATGTCAGACAAGCAAGCCAATACCTATTGATGTAATGTTAGATGAGACGATGTTCTAAGTTTACCTGGGTAATACATAAAATCAGTGTGTGGAGAAGTTGATCCATTTACAGATTTAGATGGAGATAATTTGCAGCCAACACATCCAAGCTGAGACTGTCCAACATACCAATTGTTGGATAGATTTGTTCAATATACGCTAGGTCATCCAGTATCTGATTTTTTTTTGCAGTCTTAGATGTATCTGATGGAAATTTGCTTTTATTTAGGTTGATATGTTTGAGCTCCCTATATGTGTGTTATATGCATGTGGAGAAGCTTGCATCTTAATGGGCATGTTTTTATGTTGAGAAATAATTTTGTGATAACGGATATGTTGAGCCATAGAACTTGGTTGACTTGCCACACAATGATAGCTAGTCACAAAACTGTGACTGATGGTTTTGGTATGTCTTGAAGGAAGCCTGCTCATTCCTTTGTACTATTAGTCATGCTTGTTTCCTTTCTTACTTCATACAGACCAGATGTATATGTTCTTTGGAGCACTTGATCTAGTTGCTATCACCCTTTTCCATCCTCCTAATTCTTTTTTCAGCTTTATTGAAATACTTGAGTGGATCATAGCTCTTTTATTTGTATGCGGCGGTAATGCATTTATATGGAGGTTCATATATAGACTGATGGACTTTTTGTAAATTTTCAGCTGGAGGTAACCAAAGGAATGCTACTGCAACACGTCCTCCTGGGACTGATAGGTCCACATCACCTGTTAGCTTAGGTGGACTTGGAATTCCAGGTCTAGAAGGAATATTAGGTTCCACCCCTGACCCCAGTGCAATGAGTCAGCTTATGCAAAATCCAGCTATTTCACAGATGATGCAGAGTCTCCTTTCAAACCCACAGTATATGAATCAGGTGTTTGCTTTTCTTCATCATCTTTAGATACACTTGTTTGTTTGGGTTGTGTACTTGCTAACGTATTTCATTGCTTAGATGCTTGGCGCGAACTCACAGATGCTCAATCCCCAGTTGAGAGAGATGATGCAAAACCCTGACTTCATTCGTCACATGACTTCACCTGAGACCATGCAGGTACATACACACTAGTTCGAGGAGGAAATATAGGACATGTTATGTTTATATGGCTCATAACGGAATGCCTCACTGAGGGGGTATAAATTTACAAATTAAGTACTCAAATAAGTATAGATCTTAAAAGTTACAGAAAACAAACAAATTTACAAGTATTTAAAGTTACAAAAACTAAAATTTCAAAATTTACAGAAATTACTTGTATTTGGGAAGTGCAACTAATGTGAATACTTTGCATTCAAGACGCCATTTTATTGCATTCTCTCATTTGACAACTTAACATAATTTTTATAAAGTGGGTTTATGTCTTTTTTATAATGATTTTTCTTGTATTAGAGTAGTAATTAAAATTTTGACATTGTGCAAGTAAACATGCACATAGTACAACTAATTACATAATAGGCACTTTATACGACACTTTAATGCATAGCTTGTTCAAGTATATGGCAATTTGACCATTTTATGGCCCCATCTACCTCCCTCTTTGTTTTTTTCTCTCTTCTACAGAAATGGTACTTTCAATTTGATAAGTATAACTAAACAAACACATAGTACAATTAGTTTGAATACTCGCACTTTACACAACTTTGTACTGCAATTACTAGTTTGGGAACTTGAACATCACTTTTCCCCGAATTGGTATCTTTTAAAAAAAGGAAACAGATCCAAACAGGGTTTTATCTCGTCCAAGAAACGGACTAGTCTTTATCTGGTCCAAATATCAACCTAATCCAATAAAGACGAGTCATTATCCTGTCCGAATCAAAAAAGTCCGATCCGATTAGGGACAGGCAGTGCGACATGATCCAAGCTGCTGATGTCATGGTCCAATCTTTATAGGTTAGTCCAATCCGTTAGGTCTGGTCCAAATGCCCATCTCCATTATCAACATAAGTGAACAATGACACGTTAAATAATCTATGAGGATGAGTCACAAGCTAGCATTCCAAAGTAAGATGATTTTCCCACAGTTGGGTAAAATTTTAAACAAAGACACCTAACACATGTGAATAGCATCTTATGTGAAAAGCTCAATTGCATGAATGTATGTCCACCGAACTTTGTAAGTTACTCTTATGCATTTTGTTCTATTCATGTCATCATTTTATTTCCTAGCACTTGGTTGATGGTATATTGCATTTCTCATTGTGCACTCAGCAACAATTTTTATATGGCATATGATATAACATGGGTGCATGATATGACGTTTGGGAAACATCTATGAAAGGAAAATATATACTTTGCACAGAAGTGGAATTTACTTAGATTGCCATATTGAATTTGATTCTAAAAATTACTATGCATGCAATTAGCATCAATGCCAACTAGAGTTGTATTCAGTTCTCTGTGCGATACAGGAACTAGTATGTCAGGACAATAGGTGAATGCTTTAGTGGCAAGTAGTATATCAGGTTAGACTATCAATATCCCTATTTAGAAGTTTGATCATTGGTATGAAGGTGGGTGCCATGGAGAAAAGCATGATGCATTTCGAAAGCGGCACCTTGTCATGTAGGATGGTGCAGCAAGCAAAAACGGCACCCACCATATAGCCAAGGTACTGCCACATGCTTTGTTGGGGGCACATTGGTGCGGTGCAATAGTAAACCAAACAAACCCAGGATTTCCCATGCAGAGGTAGGTTTGTGGGGTTAGATGCATGCATATCTCTCCTAGGCCAAAGAATAGAGAGTGAAAACCCCCAGCTTGTACAACGAAAAATCAAAAGAAACAAGAGAGCAAGCTACAGGTGATAGTGTGTGCAATTAAGCAACAGGTCATTTATGATCTAACAGACAAGGTAGCATGAACTGTGAGGAAAATAGGTTAGAACAAACAAGGAAGCACAAATCGCTATATTGACAACTACTAGTACAAGAAGAAAAGCGAAGACTAATGTGTACTTAAAAAGTCACACAAGTAGATACAATAATAGACATGCTAAGCAGGAAAAAACTTAGATATCCCTCAATCTAACGTAAGACTGGGTTTATTTTCTAACTTTATGATACGACAAGCCCACAAATACTTCTATTGAACCAATACAATAACATGGAGTCCAAAGAAGACGACCTAAATCCTAATGATCAAGTTCCAACATCTTTCTCTTCTGAACATATCTTTGGTGTCTATATAAGTCTTTAACCTATTCTCTACTTATCTTCGGTCAACAACAGCTCATGCAGCTCCTCTCTCTTCTATCTGATGCCATGACTGTTTTGCCTCAAATACCAAGAGTGAAAGGGTAGACCGGCTATATGCATCAACATCAGCATTATTTGTGCAGTTACTGCATGTAACTTGTTTAGTTGTAGCAAGTAGCAACTGATGTCTAAATTTTCTATTCCCTCTATTTCAAACAGGGAATCTTTGTTTGACTTCGGTGGTCAAAACTTTAGGCCATGTTTGGCAAACATAAGCTAGCTTACTTTTTGAGCTTATTTCAAAAGCCCCATCTAGATGGGCAAAAAGTATCTTATAAGCTAGCTTTGGAGTAGCGTTATAATTAAGCTCCAGGAGCTTTTTGCCATTTACTTCCAATAATTGTTATTTACTATTATTAATTATTGATAAATATTAATTATTAACTAATATTAATTTCAAATTATTAATTAATATTAATTTCAACTTATTAATTAATCTTAATTGTAAATTATTCATTCATATTAATCATTAAATATTATCGAATGTGAAAAAGAGTCAGAAGAGATGGTTCGATAATATTATAAATTTTGGATTTGTATAACCAAATACGAGGATACTTTTTGGTCATTTTGCATTTTTCAACTAGTTTATCAGCAATATACATAACATTCTGGAACCCCCAAGCAGGAAGACATGAAAGTAAAACTTTTAATTTCCTATATAGTTGGTTTATCTATTGTGGTCAATACGTTAAGTAGATGGGATGTAAGACTTATGTGTCAATCATGTTCTATTTATTTTTGTTCTTTCCCTGACTCTTGTATATTCTTGCTATTCCAGCAAATGATGGCACTGCAGCAGTCTCTTTTCTCCCAACTTGGTCGGCAACAAAGCACCGGGTAAATTACCCTTGTTCTCATTTTGGTTAGTTATAAATATTTTGAAGCCAGTTGTGGACTAGGAGTGATCATTAAATGGAATTGTTTTATGACAGGAAAGGATAAATAGTAGTTATATGACATTGCACAACTTCAAGTTTTGGAAGTAGTAATTAGGGTAAGGGCTAAAGGCTATGGAATGGTGCTTACTCATATATGCAAACCAAGATATAATGAAGTAATGATTTGGTTACGTGTTTGAAATGAAAAGTCAACTTTAAGTTGTTTTTACTTTTAATTGTGAAATTGTGGCAAACAAGGAAACTTTAGTTTCAAAAATGGAAGGTTGGGTATACTCAATGCAACACTCACTACTGTGAAACAGTAGAAATTAAAGTGAGGTGACTTATAAAGCAGCTTCAGTATAGTAAATTGAGAAAATTACTTTATATGTTTAGATGATGAATATACACCAATTAAGAAGATGAGAGGTACTGAGAGTGATGCTAGTGTGTAGAAGTAAGGAGATACCAAGAATACGCCGATGTCAATCAATCAACAAGGTCTCGTGCTCTTTCATTGGGAATTTTGCTTGTAGATAAAACCATGTTATATCTTATTGTCTTTGGATGGATATGTGATGATTGGCTACTATATGGATGGAGATCTAGGGCCTGTTTGTTAGCAGCTTAATGAGTTTAATGGGACCCATGACTTATTCGGTCAGCTATACATGATTGTTTGGTAGTGGCTTAATGATATAGAAAGTGGCTTATTCAGTAAGCTTCTAGGGGGGAGCTTTATGTAGAAATCCAAGTTTTTCCAAAAATGCCTTTGCCAATTAAAAAATACGCTCCTTCCATCTATGAAAAAACCCTCCTAAACAAAAACCTTCTCAATCCATATAGATAGATTAATCCACACAGTTAGCTTTATCCATGCAAGACATAATGGAAAACCAACCAAACAACCCCGTGTTGTCTATTATCATTGGTTAAATTTGACGTTCTCTTTCTTTCATTTTTATATTGGTTTCCTTTTAGAAAATAGTTGCTGATAAACTCAATAGCTCGTTGATTGGTTTTCTCACCTAGTTCGTGTTGATTATGAAATTCAAATTTTGTTATGCAGGGATGTGGGTCAAACGGGTGGAGGAACAGGTATTTCTCTTTCCAATAACACCATATCTGTTTTTAATTTGCGACATATTTCGTGATTTGGGCCGAGTTAGTTTCTAATCAGAGCTAGCAGTTACTTTCTGCTTAGTTTATTAACTCGATCAATAAGAGAAGCCCAATTATTTCTTGTTTAGCTCGATCAATCCCACATAATTCCTGCTTAACTTTTAAATGTTTAATTTTGCAATTGGTTGGTAAACATAGAGGTTTAGGGGGGCATACTATAATGCCTAAGCAACCAATTAAGGAGCCCTAAGCTGAGATTTTCAAAACACTGCATAATTTATCTGGTGCATGGAGGCTTGCCACTAAAATTCTGACTTATGTGCAAACCCTTCATCTGATAAGGTTTCTACTTCTAGCATAATTATATCACCAAGATTCTTGACTTCAATTTCATAATTAGGAAGTGAACATTTGTTCTCTTGCCACTTAGTGCAAAGTTGCGATTAGATCTTAAAAGAAATAGGGCTACAGCAAGTAAAGCAAGCTTTCCCCCTTCGWTTGTTGTGGGTCGCGCCTCACTGCAGGCACTGAATGAATGAAATGAGTGGAGATCTTCCTTCCCCCTTGCTAATTACCAAGAATTTCGTTGCCACTAGTGGCGAAGAAGAATTTCACCATTTAAAAAAAAGAACTCGGAGCCGAACAGAATTTTCTCTTGAAACCCGACATCCAAGTTCAAAATTTTAGTCGCTTGAATCACCGAGGTATCAAGACAATAGCCGGACCTTTACACAATTTTTGAAATCTTGAAGAAAAACTGAGTTGCAAGAGACCATATGATATGCGTAAGAAATTTTGAGAAAATATGGAGGTAGGAACTTTGAATCAAAACCTTGAGAAGATTACAAATACTAAAACAACCGATGAAAATGATGAAATTTCTTTGAGAGTTGAAGCAAGGACAAAATTGCATTTGCAAAATGTTTAATGTGATAGAAGACATGGTGAGACAACCATGAAAATGATACTTTTGAAAGATGTTTAGTGAGAGTCGTTGTGATGCAACACGGTCGAGAGGTGGCGTTAGTTAGCCCTCCAGACCGATAGCAAAGGGAGAGACATATGAGAGTTGGTGCTGTTTGTTCTTTTTCCCATTAAGCCCCGTATGGATTAAGCTGTCTATATGAATTTAGATAAATTACTGTTCGTTTAGGGTTTTTAATGTAGATATCCTCTATATCTGTTACTTTGTCCCAAAATAAATGTCCACAATGAAAAAGGTATACAATTTTACCCCTAATAATAGATGAAGAAGCAATGATTTTCATCATCTCATTATTTAAAAGATATAATTGGAAAGTAGGCACTTAATTTTAAAAATTGACACTTATTTTCGAACAAACTAAATAGAAATGTGAACGCATACGGAGGGAGTATTTTCCTTTTATATCTTCTCTGTTGCAACATCAGGTGCTCCTGCTAACATTGGACTAGATATGCTGAGAAACATGTTTAATGGACTGGGAACAGGAGGCTTCACTACACCCAACAACTCTAACGGTAACGTTTTCATCATCACGATACTCGTCTTTAATTTCCGCTATCTCACTGCTTCCTTTTTTCAGTGCCTCCAGAAGAACGGTATGCCACCCAACTTGCACAGCTACAAGAAATGGGGTTTTTTGATACCCGTGAGAATCTTCAAGCACTCACTGCCACTGCTGGTAACGTTCATGCTGCGGTTGAACGGCTGTTGGGAAATCCCGGTCAATAGGAAGTTCCAAGCCATGTATATATACAATTGTCGTCTATCATCAACGAACAACATCTGATGCGGAAATTGCCTTTTAAATTTCGTTCGTTGTTTTAGCTGTTATGATTACTGGCAACCATCTTGCATGCTTTTCTTGAGATGTAATGTGTAATTGTGTTACAAACCTTTTTTAATGCATTTCATTAGTAAACAATAGTTTTCGGTTAACCTCTTCTAAAGTCAATATCGCAAGTTGTGAGGGGCTTGTGTGAGCTTTGTTGTATATAGAAGTTATATATACTTCAACAAGAAATGGTTAAATTAAAGCGAGGAAAGTTCAGTTGCAAACCTTTTTTTCTGTTATAAATCGATCATGATAAATGATACACCATTCATGATGAATATCCCGTAAATGTAAATGAACGGGTAACGTGTCGCGTTCTTATCTGTCTCACCGGTTCATAATTGAACTTAGGTTCACAAGTGAAGCTATCCCTGAAAGTAAAACATAAGAGATTTTGAGATTATTGGGTGGATGGCATGAACAAGGGGGTTGAATGTAATTATGTAATATTATAGGGGGTTTAATGTAATAATAACGAACTTCTGAATCCGTACAAAATTCCCGAAATGTAAGCGCTTTTCTGTTAACAACAAGCGGGCGGTTTTCCACATTTTCGTTTTTTCGAGTTTATTCCGCTCGTCTTCGCTCTTCGCCCCTTCCATTTTCAAAATCATTCTCCATAGTTTCTTGTAGGAAAACCAAAAATCCAGATCAATTTCCCAGGAAATTCTATTCAATTTGATACAAAATGGTTTATTAGGGATCGAAGGGGAAAGATAATCGGAGATTTACGATGGAGAAGACAGACCAATCGCGGAAATTGTATACTCGTATGAGATTATGGGAGTTACCTGATCAATACGTTGCGGAACCCCTTGATGTTTCCACTGGTCCTTGTTTGGCTGTTAATCGAGATGGCTCTTTGGCTCTTGTTGGTTTGTTTCTTTTTCCTCTTTTCAGACTTTATTGCTTTCATTTTTTATATATTAGATTGAAAATGGATGGGCTGGGTGTCAACTGACCACTTGAATTTTATATTTTATGTTCATTATTCATGTACGAAATTCTATTGTCACTGGGATTTGGTTTTAGTATAATTGGGTGGTTTTGATACGTTTGCTGCTAATGAATCTTATAACTTTTGTTTATGTAGATGAAGTCCCACATTGTACGACCGTTCGAGTTCCTAGAATTCAGACAATTTACGGTGTTGTTGGGATACTAAAGCTTTTGGCAGGTCAGAGGATGATTATAGTACTAGAAAGAAAAACAAAATTTTGGTGCATAATTGTATGCAAGCTCAAAAGTCATGATACAAAGGTTTGGTTTGCAAATAAGTAGACACTAGGATTTTGAACAGTGTGTCACAGTAGCTTGTACTCAGCTACATATTATCTGTTACTTACTGATTATCTTATTTAATAATTTGGTGATTAGAATCAAGAAATCAGGTTTCATATAGTTGTAGGAATTGATGTGAGAAATGGGATAACAAGCATCTTACTTCAGGCATCTTGTTAAAATATATTGGACACAGAAGGGTACAAAAATTTATGAGAGATTAGATATATATTCATATAAGAGTTTGTATTGTTTTTCTACGAAATGGAGTAAACAAGTAATTAAACCAGGGTCCACTTAGAATGTATGCCATTTTGGAGTATGATTTAAGGTAGTTCAACTTACAGTTTAAATGTTCATTTTTTCATTTGTAAATTGTAATGGAAAATGTTTGATGAAAATGCTAACCAAAAAAGTATATGGTAAATACTGGATAGAAGTTTGATTTAACTGATTTCAGAGTTCTTTAGGTAGCGTTTGGTACGCAGACATGATTGAACATGACTGAACAGGACAAGAGGATAGGACTAGACTGTGTTTGGTATGACTAAGACTGTACAAGACAGAACTAGATAAGTTGCCTCCAAAAGTTATTTTATGATTTTATATATCATATAATAATATAATAGTTATAATTAACACAAATAAAGTAAATAATTTAATTTTATAAACATTTTTACACAATTTTCATATACATAAATATAAAATAGTACCAAATTTGAATGACTTTTTTTATATAATTGATGGTATTTTGATAAAAACCCGATTCATATAAAGAAGAATTATGTTTTATTCGGTTCGGAAAATTCTTATTAATTAGTGAAGGCAAGGTAGAGACTGTTACAACAAAAATGGTTGTTGAGATAGAAGCATTGGTAATTAGTGAATGATAGTGGTTGTGGAGGACGTGAAAATGGTGGGTAGTGGTGGTGGTGGTGGCGGTTGACAGTGGTGGAGGAGGTAGTTGTGGTCTATGTGGTAGAGGTAGGTGTGATGGTGGGCAGTGGTGGTGGTAGTCGATAGTGGTGGCCGACAATGGTAGTGGTAGCCGGTGGTGATGGTGGGAAGTGGTAGCCGATGGTGGAGGTGGGGTGGCCCATGGTGGTGGCGATGAATGGTGCCGGTTGGTGCTGACTATGGTTGTGGAGGTGGTGGAGGAGGTTGTAGTAGAAGAGAAGGTGGAGGTGGCCAACAGTGGTAGTGGTGGTGGAAATAGACGGTGGTGGTCAGTGGACGACGACGGTTGTGGAGGTGGTGGAGGAGGTTGTAGTAAAAGAGGAGGTGGAGGTGGCCAACGGTGGTGGTGGTGGTGGTGGCAATGAACGGTGGTGGTCCGTGGACGAAGATGGTTGTGGATGTGGTGGAGGAGGTTGTTGTAGTAGAAGAGAAGGTGGAGGTGGTCAACGGTGGTAGTGGCGATGGTGGTGGTAAGTGGTCGATGGTGGTTGTAGAGTTGGTGATAGACAGTGGTAGTCGATGGTCAATGGTGGTTGTGGAGGAGGGGCAGGTCACTGACGGTGGCTATGGCAGCGGCCGCAACTAGCGGTCGTGACCACTAAAACAAATACCATGTTAAGGTTATATATCAAACGAGGGTGGGTTAGTTTTATTTTAGTTTCTGTCTCATTCTTGTCCGATCTTGTTCCACCTATTTTGGTGGAACAAGAAAAAGTCTTTTTTGTCCCACGCTGTCCCACCTTGTTGCAGTTCTTGTCCTTGTCCCATATCACACCAAACGTGAGACAGTGAGTTATTCTCCTGTCCCATGTCGCGCCAAACGTGGGACAGTGAGTTTTGCCACGTCCTTCCTGTCCTGTCCTGTTCCATCCCATGTACCAAACGCAGCCTTACAGAACAGTTCTTGAGTTAAGAGTTCAAATTGTGGTTTGAAATTTATTTTCAGAGTTCTGCACATCCTTTTTCTGCAGAGAAATTTTCATTGATATGACTCTTTAACTGTTTCCATATGTTGGCAGGATCATATTTGATAGTTATAACAGAACGTGAATGTGTCGGGTCATACCTAGGCCATCCCATCTACAAACTTTTGTCACTGAAAGTTTTTCCTTGTGATCGTGCAGTAAAGAACGCCCGTGATGAAAAGGTGAAACTACTGTAGGTTACTGTTTTGGATTCTTTTTGTTTGGTAGGTGATAGCATATGAAAGTGTGTAACGGTTTTCCATTTCTGCCAGAAAAAGATGGAATCCGAGTTTTATGGCCTGTTAAAAGTTGCTGAGAAAACACCTGGCCTTTATTTTTCATATGATGTCAATATAACACTAAGGTCTGATATCTTCTCCGTATTTATGATGTGTCGATGATTCTTGTCATTGAAGATCAATAAATTTTGATTTGAGCTTTACCTTTTGACCTTTGATGTTTCCTTTGTCTCTACCCAATCGTCATTTGTATTGGAATATGCTTTTCTTTCTTAAATGTTAAACAAGACAACATGCAGATACCATTTTATTTTCTCTTCCAGAAATTAAACTTCTTAGATCATCCAACTCCCCTAATTCTTGATCTCAAGGGTGATGAACTTGTTTGCCATTTCCATCTTGCAGTGCCCAACGGTTGAATGACTTGGGTGATGAATCAAGTTGGCTTCCTCTCTGGAGGCAGGTAAGTATTGTCTCAAAACTGAAGGTCTTTACACTGATAGTTGTTTCATAACTCAAGCAGTTTCTTAAGGCTGCATATATATACATATATATACACACACACACATGCATTATATTATCAAGAATGATGATTTTTCAGCATATAATATGCCTATGCCTCGTTTTACATCTGAAACACACGTGGAAATTTCCTGATGTCACAGGCAGAGCCTCGGTTTCTATGGAATAATTACATGTTGGAACTTCTCATAGATAACAAGGTTAGTTTTTCCATCTTATTAGAACATGCCTAAGCTCAATTGCTTCAAAAAGTTTCATATCCCTGATGGCGGACATTGACAACATATGCAGAAGCTTGATCCGTACATTCTTCCTATTCTTCAAGGGAGTATCCTTTTTCTGTCGGTATTAGTTTTCTTTTGAACCAGTGGTTGATAGCTGATGCGTCTCAACTGGTAGATCAACTTCAATTTTTTGCAGAACTGTTTAACTGTCATACCCTTAACCTAGTACCAGCTTACCAGAACTTTCAAGCAGCAATCGGAAAAGATATTATAGACGTTACCCTGATAGCAAGGAGGTGTACTAGGAGAAATGGTATGGCTCAAAAAGTAATGCACAACATCGAAGTTAATCTTTTTCATATATTTGTATGGAGAAATTGGCACATTCTAGCATAATGTCATTGAACTAGCAGATAAATCATGAATAGCAGTAAACTGAAAACACAGACTAGAGTAGTGTAATTCCAAAGGACAGCCGTATCTGCTTACAAGGATGGAGTACATCATGTTTTTCAGAGAATTTATTTACTCAAGCACTATAGCAATAAGGCAATAATGGTGTTTTATACCTCCCCTTTTGGTTTTGGTCTCTTGCATTAGTAGAAAACGTACTCTAGCTACATAATTACACTCGGTTTCACCGTAACAAGTTCATATATATTTACCATGACCTTTTCTTAGTCACTAATAGACAAGACTTTTAATTAGTGTCTATTATAAATCTGAGCAGGGACTCGGATGTGGAGAAGAGGGGCTGATCTTGATGGGTATGTAGCAAATTTCGTGGAAAGTGAACAAATCATACAGTTAAAAGGGTATACAGCATCATTTGTACAGGTATACTTTCTTATACTTCTGTTTTCCCTTTAGTGTCCATTTTATATATCTTCGATGTTCGGTCGTCAGACCCCTTTAAGAAACGCATTTGAAGTGAATAATTGTTAACCTTTTGATTCCTGAATGATTCTTGGGGTTTTGAATCTAAAATTTGGTTTGCCTAATGACATAAGAAAATACAAATTGATACTTACTTGATCAGTATCGATTCTTTTGAATAAAAAATCCTTCTCAATTTCCATGACAAAAATTATAAATATATGTAAACCTCAAAACGTAAATTGTTACACAGATACCAAATTGGGTATCTTATTTATATTGCCTATAAATAAAGGGAATTTGTTGGAATAAAAAAAGGCCCGGCTGGGTATTCACCGGGCCAGGTCCAAAAAGGCACTTCGAACAAAATAAAAGCAAGAATTTCAGTTGTCAATAGCTTTGATCATATGACATTTACCAGAACAGTAGACAAATTATCTTGATAAAAGCAAAAGGGGGTGTTCTTTCTTGTATGACAATAGGAGTTGATGTGTTATCATAATAAACAAATAACATTAGTTATTTTGCAAGACTGCCAGTCATTTTTCGGAAGACGGGGGTTAAACATTATTATTAACAGAAGCATGTAGATAGATGCTAGTTATGTTACTAGGTCCTACAACATGAAGTGAAAAATGCAACCCCTTCTTATTTCAGTGTTTTTGCTTTCCTCTGACAGTCAACAACTCTACCATATACATGTCCATGAGCACTCTGAAAATCTTATTGGTCATATATAACGTTCATGTTCCATTTCCCATATGACCCTATTTACAGTTTTTTCTTTGTCTAGAAGGAAGTATGGTCATATCACATAATGCTTCAAATGTGAGATCCAATAACCACTCATGTAGAAAACGCATTCTAGCCCATTATCTGAAGTGCAAAATTTTGGTCTAATGGGATCTGAACTTGACCATGTAATCAAAGTTGAAAAAACTCTCAAGAGGAATTTGAGTGAAAGTGGCTGAAATGTGGATGTTGAGGTGGACGAATAGGGTTGCAGCTATCATGGGCAGAGATGGGAGTTGCACTGATCATGGATAAATTGAGAGATTGAAGATTTCAGTGGTTTGGACACGTTTATAGGTGGCATATGATGGAGCCGGTGAGGATGTTGAGAGCGTTACAGTTGATAGGGTGAGTAGGACGTGGCAGCCTTAGACATTTCCTAGGACATAGCCTCTGATAGGAGTTCTTGGAGACACAGGACTAGGGTAAAAGCTTATGTGTGGGAGGCTGTACCTATCCTAGACACGGGGAAGGGGGGGGGAGAGGTAGAGGGTGAGGGTTAAAGAATCAGCGGTTAGTTTTCCAGGTAGGGGGGGGGGTCTACCAAGTTTTACCTTCTTTCTTTTCTACTATGTCTCCTCGTAACTTTCTTGTATCCTTTCATGTTACTTGTTTTTACCTTTTACCCCATTTCCTTCTTGTAGTTATTTGTTCTTCTTGTCCAAAAGTCTCTTTGCCTGCTGCACTTCTTTAACTTTTCGAAATCCTTTTTGCAAAACTTCGCAACAACAAAAAAATACAAGAGGGGGGGGGGTCTTTTTGGGTAAGCTTAGCGCCCAGGTGGTCTTCGTAATAGAAGAGACATTTGGCGATAAGCTTGCGCTACAGAAACAACCTTTTTAGTGCCTCACTGCACCCTCAACTCTGTTGCCAATTGATTCATATTTTGTAACTCCTAATGAGAATTATAATGTATTAATGTATATATAGTAGATACAAATATAAAAGAATTCAAATATATGCTTTCCGACCATTTTATGATGTGTGAATTTCCAAGGGACGTTGTAACCAAAAATAACAAGTAATTCCTATTTGAATATGTAGTGAGGACTCAGGAGGTACTACAGAAGATATGAAACCAATGAATTGGACTTGGTTGACATTCAAAATGACCAATGAGAAATCTTTTGTAATATGTGGGTAATTTTATTTTTATTTGAAAAGCAGGACTGTCAATTTAATATATGACATTTTGATCATGTATTTATGGAAAAACTGTTGAGATACAGTAATGGTAGGTTGCCATGGTCTCTTATGGTATAAGTTTCATATTGGTTAACTTATGAAATGTGTGCATTCATCTAAATTCTTAGGAACTGAAGGGGATCTTTGGCATCCCCATATCTATGTATTTAAAATCCTCTTTCATCGTCTTCATGCATATTCTTTTATTGGATTAACCATTATAGAGACAGTTCTTAGATTTTTTGTATGTAGGTCCGAGGGTCAATTCCTTTTCTCTGGGATCAGATTGTTGATTTGTCATATAAGCCCAAGTTTGAGATTCTGAAACCCGAGAAAGCAGTGAGTGTACAATGCTGAACTAGTTGTTTAATTAATATTTCACATGCCTATATCTTCTTAACAGTTGATGCTTTTATATGATTATTTCTGCAGCCTCGAGTTGCGGAACGGCACTTTCTGGATTTAAACAAGAAATATGGAAATGTTTTAGCCATTGATCTTGTAAATACGGTATGTATGTATGTATGTATGTATGTATGTATGTATGTATGTATGTATGTATGTATGTATATGTGTGCATATATTTCTCATGCCAGTGCTTTTTTCTCAATGGATAACTCGGTAGATATATATAGGTCAAATCCCTAGTCACTTATATTCTCTTTTCAGTTGAGTTGGTTGGTTTGCTAGGTTTCAACTTATCTGATTCACCTATCTGCTTCCCAAACCCACCAAAGAAAATGTAACGGACCAAGGTTTACTATGCTTGACTATTTTGTTTAACTTATATCTCTTTATTTTTATAGCGTGGTGATGAAGGACGCTTGACTGAAAAGTTTGCCACTGCAATGCAGAGAATTATTAGTGATGATGTGAGGTATATCTTGGCTAATTTTCCCAGTTTGCGCATATGTGGCTTGGTGTATTTTCTATGCCGATGCTAAACTTGCTAAGCTCTGCAGATACTTGCACTTCGACTTCCATAAGATATGTGGACATGTTCATTTTGAGCGGCTATCTATCCTTTATGATCAAATTGAAGATTTCTTGATTAAAAATAGGTAAGCATTACTTCTTAAGGAGATAAATTTATGGTCAACTCTAATTTGAGATAAATTATCAAACTTAGGTACAAGCTGTTGGGATGGTTTTTTCAGAGTGGCCAAACTGATAATTTTTTACACAGCAGTGACCAAGTATAAGTGATGGAAGTTATTCATCAGATTAAAAGGGTGTTGCATGATTTATTTTACTCTTTAGGGCATAAACTTCAACGAAAATTGTAAATGTTTATGATTATAGCGAGATGGTTATAAATGAGACAAGTCTTGAAAATATTAACAGTACAAGATGGGAAATAGACAATAGGCATACAAATAAGACATCCACTGATGAAGGATTCCTCGAAAAGTTCAGGATTAGTAATCTTTTTTAGAAATAACCTACTTAAGGGGACTAATGATGGAGGACTAACCTAGACTCTAGAAGTTGGAGCACAGATCTATTAATAAAATCTAAGTTATCTATAGTGGCTTTGTCATTATATGATATTCAACACCTGGATGAGAAGGGTCCCAATAATGTGATTCTGTGTGAGATGATAGCCACTTTTTTGTTTTTGGCCCTTGATTTTTGGCTATGTGAACAGTAGATTGCTTGTCACAGTATAGCTTATCAGTTTGTCCAGCCAACCCACCAAGTAAGCATTTGTCTAGGAAACAATGATCATTGTTTGGTACTTGAACTCATCACTAGAATTTTGGCTTTCTAAATTTCTAATGAATGCTAGGACCATAGGGATTGTTAAATTCAAGAGTAAAAATATAGAGGATGGTAACAAAAAGAGGCTTGGTAAGTTGAACTATTTGGATTACATTAATAACAATGTGGCATACGTCTGGTTCTGAAATGTGACTTTTCTTTTCAATTGATAGGTACTATCTGTTAAATGATAAGGGTGAAAAAGTTGAAACGCAAATTGGAATAGTGCGGACGAATTGTATAGATTGCTTAGACCGTACAAATGTCACACAGGTATATTACTTTGAAGTTTGTATATTCTTCGTCTTTGTTTATTATGTAAACTTGTGTTAGTACAGTTTCTGGAATATGGTGATCAGCTTTTTAATCTTTTCTTAAGCTTACAAGGAGCGCTTATAACATCCATCATATTACTGTTTCAGATTTTACTTTTCTGTTGGTGCAGAGCATGATTGGGCGAAAAATGTTGGAATTCCAACTTCAAAGGCTTGGTCTTTTTGATGCTGAAGAAAGCATCAGCACACATCCCAATTTTGATGACTGCTTCAAAATATGTATGTAGTTTGGTTTCCTTTCACATTGTTGTTTTTAGTTCTCACTCACTTTCTTATGCGATATGTTTCCAACAGTATGGGCTAATCATGGGGATGATATTAGCATCCAGTATTCTGGCACACCTGCTCTCAAAGGAGATTTTGTCAGGTACTTGCTCAGTTTTCTACTTACGATAGATACTGCAAGTTTCAAGTGTAGTTGATTCTTCTGTATTAACTACAGTATATTGAATTAATCTACTTATATAGTTAGTATGATCGTTTAGCCCAGTTAAAGTCCATTTATTCTATAATTTGTTCATTGTGGAAGACTGAAGATAGCAGGATCCATGTTCTTCCTTGAGACTTCTATTAACTGTATAAGTTAATTCTAATATAATCTCATGCTTTATTCAACCTCTAATTCATTTCAATATCACCACCTTCCCGATTCTGTTTAGCTTTGTGTTCTGAACTGTGAGAATGAAGGTAAATAAAGTTATGGGTAGACAAGTGTTCAAGAAGCACAATTTCTGTTCTCTTATTCCGAAAAGTGTGGTGATTATTAGGGAATGTTGGCTGCGATGTAATATGAAAAGGACAGTTTACAGATGGAGCCAAGTCTGATAACCTCAGTTGGAGTACATCCATTTCAGAAGCTTTGAAGCAAAACTTGAGAAAAATGACACTACAATGTTCATGTGGTTTTGAGATAATTCTTCTTGTGCTAGTTCTTTTCAGCAGTTTTGTTCTCTTTGCAGAGGCCAAAGTAGTGCAGTTTGCCAATATATAGAGTGAGGTCAGGGGAACCCCCCCCCCCCCCCCCAAAAAAAAATAAAAAACTGAGGGACACCCTAATAACCATTCATCTGTACGGTATGCACATGTGCATACAAGTAATTGAAGATGTTTCCTGGTTTCTATGCACATGAGCATGTGAATGTACATGTGCATACCGGACAAATTACTTGTATGCACATGAGCCTGACCCTATATATATACATATAGACTAAGGATCGTGTGAGAATAGGAGTTAAGATGAGAAGCGTAAGAAGAGATCTGGACCCTTGATCACTTTTAATCTCACCTCCACCCATGAATTGGGCTTGATACGGGAATTGATCTGGTGCACCTCGGTGCATCTCATTAGTGTTGATACTTGATTAGGGTTGATCCAAGGGTGGAGATCCCTTCTCACCGTAACTTCCATTCTCACCGGAACCCTACCCTATATATATAATGTGTATATATATTAATACTTATTGCAATTAATGTTATATAGCATTTCTAAGACCAGTTTGGCTACACATCTTGAGGGCCCAGAATCACGTTTGAGCCGTAAAAGAAGTTGCATGCTCATCTTGCAGCGTGTGACAGAGGTCAAAATAGTTAAAATGTAAAAATTATCTTATGTAGAAGTTCTATAACACACATCTATTTTTATGAGAACTAGAAATCTACAGTTTCTGTAGATATATTTTTCACAAAATCAGTAGGTTTCCCAAACTAACCATCAGACCCATTCTAGTGCTATTCTCTCCCAAGCACAAATAATATCGAGTCCTAACCCTCAAGTTCGTTGTCTTAATGCCAATTCTACTAACCTTGTCTCTGCCTACACTCCAACATTCAAAATAAAATCTTATTTATTGCTGATGTTTGGTGATAGCTTTGTCTTGAAGTTGTACAAGTTCATGAAAAGAAGCTTTTGGTTTAATTTGCATGTAATATTTTTTTTTGGGTATTTCTTCTAGATTTGGTCGGAGGACAATCAAAGGAATTCTTAAAGACGGATGGAATGCGCTAATGCGCTATTACCTGAATAATTTTGTTGATGGTACAAAACAGGTCAGCATACTTATCTATTCACTTTGGCTACTCTGTTATCATCCTGAAGTAATAAGTATTTAAAGGGAAAAAACTTGGGATGTGATACACTTTTTCGTGGTTGTTTATTTTCTGAAACAAGCCAAGTCTTCTCAAAGGCAATGGCTGTCTTAGATTGGTGTGTTGTATATATATATATATAGTCGCTGCTGAACTATCCCTTTGTGTATTTTTACTTATTTTTTTAGATGGCTGCATATTTCATTATTTGTTCATATATCTAGTTTTTCTCATGTAGGATTCAATTGATTTGGTGCAAGGGCATTACATTGTTTCTCTTTCGCGAGACTTGGCTCCTAAGCTGAAAAAAGGAGGGCTAGAGAATATTGCGGTGAGTATAGTTTGATGAACCAGCATCTAGTATAGGTTCCGGAGTTCTTGGTTATATGGAATATATTTTTCACCGATACTAGGATAATCTCTTACTGATGATAGATACTGTTGTTGATTATGTTTTCACTCATTTTGCAGCCCTTTCCTGTTGTTTTGGGAGTGGTCTTGATGGGGATCTTTTTTTCATTGATGTCAATCATGCGAGGTGAGCAAATCTATGGCTACCATCGATTTTTATACATATTTACTCTCCTTATAACTACACTTAATTTCTATTTATTCGAGTCTAGATATTCATTGATCCTACATCTTATTCAGTTCGAGATGATTATTGGCAATTGCCACTTTCTATTTTCTGGGCAACGCTCAGTATAGTGATCATAAGATACGTAAGAGCCAATCGCCGGGCTTTCTGCAACAGACCACGGCTGCACAAACCGCCACACTGATTTCTGACAGCCACAGGTACTTAATTTGACCTTCGAAAGATTTTTCGCTCTTCGCTGTTGCTGGCTAAGCTAATTGCATCATTTCTCATATATATATAGCTCTCACATTGTTCATCGGTGATATATTATATATAAGTTCGGTAACTATATATTTTTGGGTGATTCGAAACTGTTGAATCCTTTTGTATCAACAGAAAGACTTCTAACTTCTTTTAACTGTAATTTGAATTTTGCTAGTAGCTGTTTGACTAGAAAAGTCAACAAAAAGTTATATATTTTTTGTTTTATTTAGAGTAAATTAGGTTTTTTCGTCCATATGGTTTGTTGAAACTTGCTACTTTTGTTCCTATGATTTTGAAATTATGATTTTCATCCCTTTAATTTACAATTTATTGCTATGTCCGTCCTATAAAATTTAAACTTTATTGTTGTCTTCATCCTTGTAGTTTACAATTCATTGTTATTTTAGGGCCTATTTGTTAGCAGCTTAATGAGATTCACAGCCTATTCGGTCAGCTATACATAATTGTTTGATAGTAGCTTATTCAATAAGCTTACAGGTGAGAGCTTTATGCAGAAAACTCAAGTTTTTTCCAAACCTCTCCCTTCCAATTAGAAAGACCGTTCCTACTGTCTAAGAAAAAAACACCAAACAAAACCTTCACTATTTATATAGACACCTTAATAAATACATACATATTTATCCATTTAGGACTTAATGAAAAACCAACTAACCAACCCCTTAGTCCCTCATACTTAAAGGTGTAGAAGTTACATTCAGGGACAAAAATAGCAATGAACTGCAAACAATAGGGATGAAAACTATAATTTCAAAAGTAGAGGGACGAAGGACAAATCACACGGGGACGAAAAACATAATTTACTCTTTTATTTATTTATGGAGTTTTAATACCAAAAAGGAAACCCTAGTTTTTGATAACATGTGAATCATCCAACCAAAGGATGGATTTGAGAATTTAAGGGTAAACTGTTCAAGTTATTAGCTGAAAAAAAGGTACATATCATATATATATATATATATATATATATATATATTAGAGATGATCCTAAGACATTGCAATTTACCTCGATCATGATGGTCGAGAGCGGCATAGCGCACCGGAGGGTCACACAAACCCTTTTTTGCAACATCAAAAAGGGTATTTAGATTGTAACGGCCTTATTTACACAAACTTGGATGAAATCTACTCGATTATACTGCAAAAAAGACATGACGCCGAGTTCTGAAGCGTCCCCATCATACTTGTCCCACAATCTACTGAAACATGAACACAACTTATTCCAGACTTCTAATATGCATTAATTAATTCGACTTCTTTTTCTTCTCCAAGTAATAATAATTCCTCTGAAACTTCAAAATCCCCCAAATGACCTGCCGCAACCCCATCTCCGGCCACAACGCTTTCGGCGAATACAACACACAGTTGGTCGTNTGAAAAGCGATAAAGTAAAATGAATCATTTTACTTATAATAAATGCACATTTAAAGTTTGAAGTCTAAATCTGAAAAGCGATAAAGTAAAATGAAATTTTGACATTTAAAGTTGTATATCGGGTTTTTTTGCTTCTAAATTTAAGTTATAGACCTCTACATATGTCTTTCAAAAATAGAAATCTAACGAAAACAAAGTACGTTTTCTAACAAAGTTTATCTCTACGAAAAAAATAAACAATAAAGCATTATAGTCTATAGACGAAAACGTTGATTACATATATACTAATCAGGACAAAATTACCAAAACTTGAATACCCGAAATTCTTTATCAAATCGGGAAAGAAGTAAAAGAGTAGTCCCACGTAATTGAGTTATGTGATTTAACCCTGAGRAAGAAAATCAGTTTAATATCAATTATTACGAAAGAAAAAAAATGCATTCACTAAACAGAATATAATGAAAGAGCAAAGAGAATACCCTTTTTGGATGAGAAAATGGGAGTAATGAATAGATATTATTGTTCAAAGGTATATATATAAATAATATTGGTTTACCAATTTTAGTTTATATTTGATGTTTCACATGTTTTTCACTTTTCAATCATTAAAACATGAAATGCATTTTGGGTTTTCTTTTATTTATTTATTAATTTTAATGATGTTTATTTTTATGGGTTGGATGTAGAAAATATATCGGAGTTTGTAAAAGGTTACAAAAGTTAAAACGTTTCGACTATGTGTCATTGATTTATGGCAAATCCTCCACAGATATCGTCTTGGGAAATCTAGGCATTGTATCCAAAATAGTGAGTGAAAAGCAACGATAAAACCTTAGATTAAATAAGAGTTCATTTATTTTTTTAAATTATATTTCGATTCAAATTTGTATGAATGTACAAAATTAGTTTATGTAAGAATGATCTCAAATCTATGTAGTGATTTTGGCATAAACCATCATGTTTTGAACTTAGAAACTCGTAATTATTCATATATCAATACTGAGAATAATTCTCCATTAAATAGAATTGATTGTTGAAAATAAGTAGCGGATGGTTACGAAATAAAAACCCAGTTACAAAATTAATGAAAAACCATGTATCAGTGGGATACCATCAGCTGATAACACATTAGTGGCTATTCTCATTAACGGCTAACCATCAAATACATCATTTATTAGTGTTTGCAAACAATCATAGATACCCATTGTTAACCATCTGATACTAAAATCCTTAGTATCCACCCTCTTAATTGTCATTATTTTTTTTGCTTCGCRGCCTTGCCTCTAGAACCCAACAAGGGGGAACGACCCTTTGACCCACCCAGCATCTAGTGTCATTCAACGATCATGGGTTCTAGTTAGCTTATATGAGTGCACACTTTACAACTCTTAACCCGWGTTATAGTTTAACTAACAACCAAGGGTAATCAAGCTTAGCTGAGTCGAGTAATATGTTATTCGAGCTCGTCTTAAAAAAATACCAGGCCCGAGCTCGAGCTCGAATAATTTTTGATTTATCGAACTCGAGCTCGATGCTCATTTATGGGCTTGAACTCATGATCAATTGACTTATTCATTGTCTCGAAGTTGATAATTTTTTTATATTTTTACTGTATGACTTATGAACATATTATCATGTTTGGCTTGAAAATTTGTATGCTCGAATGGATAATATAAGAGATAAAATGACCAATTTATCACTAATAAATTATTTATATATTTTGATTAATTAATCCGACTTCTTTTTCTTCTCCAAGTAATAGTAATTCCTCTGAAACTTCAAAATCCCCCAAATGACCTGCCGCAACCCCATCTCCGGCCACAACGCTTTCGGCGAATACAACACACAGTTGGTCGTTTGCCATAGCAGAAAGTYGCTTAGCCTCGTCTCACCTGAACTCCGCACCATAATATCCGGATYYGGAGCCACCCTCATATACATATGYTTCTCCAAATCCCCCACCTTTATCGCCTGGTCTCCGATCCCGCTCACGTTTCCATTCCCGTTTACACTCAATTCCRGAACCCCAMCKCTCTTCTCTTGACATGCATACGTAACCGCACGTTGGATCTCGTACGACGACGCATATGCCACACAGATCAAAAGGTAGGTTCTGGTGTTGCCTGCGGTGACTTCCATTGCCTGCTTAGCCGCGATCCTAACTGGTTCATGTAAACGGTCAAKATCGCCTATAAACAACACTCGAACACCATATTTGTKCACAATATCAACTTCTTTMAAGAAGGCTTCGATCTTTTCACRCATTAAGTCCATTATGTATTGGACTTCATCTGGGCGTCGGTTGAAATTGTCGATGCTGAATGCGTAGACTGTTACATACTTGACTCCCATCTCGTAACAGTATTTTAGGACCGAAATGAGTGCTAGAAACCCGGCTTTGTGGCCCGCACCCTCGTCCAGYTGCCATTTCTTGGCAAACCTTCGGTTCCCGTCCATGATGAATGCGATATGTTGTGGGATCGGACCACACGATATGCAACGAAAAAGAAGTGATCTTGTTTTGTTAATTAAGCCTCCTAAGAATCTGT